TATTAAATACAGTGTGACAACATGAGGCTGTTTTTCTTTGGGGAACTATATATAATACATTTCTATTCCATTGAACTAGACTCATGATAAACATTGGTTACAATGTCAAATGGATTTTCGAAAAATGATAAACAAATATTCTATTTCTAAAGAGAATACCTAGATGAAATCTCAATGAAGCCTCATTTTAATGAGATTTCAGAAGATCTGCATATTTAAGTTTTCTCGGGTTTATGAATCTGAAATCAGAATTGACCATTTAAGCTTCTAGAACCTTGAAGATCAACTTGACGATATCCATGTTGAAATGGACCATATATGGCCATGAAATGCAATGAAATACCATGGTAATACCATAGCCGATCATGATCGTTGGCACCATTGCATTTCATGGTTAACAGCGCGTTTTCAACATGGAGTTTTCCATTGAAAAAATACTGCCGTTTCGCAGTATTTCATATATGATAATGCAATGATATCATGGTCAAGTTCTCGACCATGATATCATTGCATTTGATGGTTTCTTGACCATGATGTCATTGCATTTGATGGTTTCTGACCATGAAATACTGCGAAACGGCAGTATTTTTTCAATGGGAAACTCCATGTTAAAAAAGCGCTACTGACCATGAAATGCAATGGTGCCATTTAACGATCATGATATACCATGGTATACCATGGTCAATTAACATGTAATTTTGTATCTAAAAAATACCACCGTTTCACATTATTTCATGGTCAAATACCACCAAATGCAGTGATATCATGGTCTAGACATTCAACCATGATATGCAATGGAGCCATCCAATTATCATGATCTACCATGGTATACCATGGTCACTTTACTTAAAATTTTGCATTTAAAAATACTGCTATTTTGCAGTATTTCATGGTTGGAAACCATCAAATGCAATGCAGTACAGTCAAAATGTTTAGTCGAAGACTGGAGGTTGGACTTACAAAATATTGAGTTGATCTCCTATTTTACCGACAACAGTCAAAAAAAGTTAAGCAAATTTGTTTAACAAAAAAAAATTGTTTCTAGGGTTATTAACTTAATTATTCATCATAGAAATTAATTTATTAAATAAAGGAACAAAAGTATATAAAGTTGTGATTTTGATGAATATCAGAATCACTAATTATAATAATTTGGTTATCTAATTAACATTTATTAATAAAGATATTTCATGTAAAAATACTTTTTGAACATGGTCTTTCATTGTATTTTACTGCATTGCAAGAAAGACCATTGCATTTCATTGCATATCATGATCAATCATTGTATTTCATTGCATTTCATGGTGAAACGTGGTATTTCATTGTATTTCATGATCCATTTCAACTCTGACCAATTTTAGACTTCGACACTCTTCTAAGAGTTCTTTTGGCAATGAAATACCATGGTATAACCATGGTATTTGATGGTCAGGTTTGACAATGAAATGCTATGAAATACAATCAACCACGAAATGCAATGATATGCCATGATAAATGATAGTTATGATTATGGCAATGAAATACCATGGTATGACCATAGTATTTGATGGTCAGGTTTGACAATAAAATGCCATGAAATACCACCAACCATGAAATGCAATGATAAAACCATGATAAATGAGAGTTATGATTTTGGCAATAAAATGACATGGTATGACCATGGTAATTGATTGTCACACGGTACAATGAAATGCCATGAAATGTCATCAACCATAATATACCATGGTAATACCATGGTAAATGATGGTCAGGTACATAACAATAAAATATCATGGTATGACCATGGCATTTGATTGTCACATTGTACAATGAAATACCATAAACCTTGATATACAATGGTAATAACATGGTAAATGATGGTCAGGAACATGGCAATGAAATACTATGATAATACCATGGTATTTGATGGTTAATTTAGGTAATCGCAAGTATATAAATTAACCATCGAGAAACCAAAGGTCAAGGTCATATTCTAGGTCAATTCAAGGCTAAGCTTGCATTCGCGAATTCAATTAACACCCTTGGTATACGCAGCTAACGAAAATTGACCGGTACGGGTCAAAAGCTGGACCGGTACGGGTTAACGGTTTTATTTGAATTTAAAACAGCCATAACTTGCTCAATATTGACTTCCTCGTGTCTAATTTGAAATATATGATGCCTCCCGATGCTTTTAAGTACTCCAATTTTTTACAGATTTTTAAACGGACCCAAACTCTCTAAATGCGCATTTATGCTCTTTTCTCTCGAGAACGACTGTCTCATTTTCACGATAACTTTTATTTAGTACTTCTAACATATAAGATCTATTTTTCCCCATCAAGGTATGATGTAAATGACATGCTATTTACATCTTGTGAGTTTCAATGACGCGCGTTTGATTTTATAAAAAATGCCAAACTTTGTGACAAAGAATTTCATCCTGCTTGCACAGTGGCGTAGCCAGGATTTGGTGACCGGGGGTTCTATTTTTATGTTATTCACAAATCCCCCCCCCCCCCTTCATTAGGGCTCCTCAAATAAAAACATTTTTGTGCAATTTGTACAATTACACCCCCTCCAAAAGTTTGGCAATCCTAACTAACCCATTGGATTATGTATTAAAGCATCTTTAAGTTTGAATTCTTATATGCATAATTTGTAAAGAAAAAACTATTTTGGGAGGGGAATATAATTCATTTTAATACCTTCATCAAGAAGACAATTGAATTTGAATTTTATTTAACAAAAATGATGTCTTTATTTACGTTAAGCAAAGTCTGAAAGTAATGGGCTTCATCAAGAAACCTCTCCCATTGAAATAACACAGGACGTAAAAGTGATTTTCAAAAATGACCTTGTATACAAGACTGTATATTGGGATGGATACATTCTTTGAGCAAGACTACCTTGTAACTTTAATGTTCACAAAGTAAAAAAACAGGCAACGTGCAAAAAAGTCAGACAACTTATAATTAATTTTCTGCATCAAAATATTTTTTGGTGAATCTTTTACTGAATATATATCCTGAAATCTGTTTTGCCCCGGATCCACCATTATTTCGTCTGATTTCTGGAAGACCCTGGAGCATGATTTGTTACCAAGGAATATCAACAATTTATTGAAAATGGCGCAAACACCCTATACTCCGAAAGATCGTTCTTCCATGACAACTTTTCACAACGTTTACACGAAGGCTTTTTAAACTATCCGGGATAGTCGTATTACTGATGAAAACATCTATTCTTAATACCATATGATTTTTCAATGTTTTTTATTATGTAATTTATTTGCTAAGCATAACATGACATTAACATGAAAATGGAGAGCAAGTAAACTGGAACGATAACAATTTGAATTCTATACAATCTCCAAGATGAGTGGAGTAAATCTGAAAAAAAAATCATTTTTTGCAATGATTGTTTTTTCTTTGAAAAAGTGATGGGTAATAAATACTGAACAAATGAAAGAATGAATAAATTTGAACAAATGCTTGTGTTTATAAATGATGTACGCTTTTAAATAATTCATTTCACAACGTTTTTAATTATTTAACACAATTAGTTTCGGGGACTTCCCAGCCCCAGGGACGTCCCAAGAAATATTTTAAATTTTTATTGAAATAAAACAAAACAGAGATGTACACATTTGAAAGAACATGTGTTTTATCAATATTACGACGATTCCAGATATTTATTCGTCAATGTTGTAAAAATCATTCGGAGTATGGGACATCTGCATTGTTTTCAATAACTTTCAATAACTTTGTATTGGACCAGAACTGGCTTAAAAAAATTCCTACAAAGGACTGATTTAGCCATTGCCCACGATGGGTTATTTTGTCCGAGAAGAAGCAGCTTTTAAGTTAATTGTGCGAAATTATTGTTATTTCTAAATGTAAAATCTCATGCTCTGGGGTCTTCCGACAATTAAATCTCATCCCGTGCCTAAGGTTGCCAAACGTTTTGAGGGAAGTGTAACTTCATGATGACATGTTTTTAACAAAATAAGGCTCTCGTGTTCACCATAACAAATATCAATTCACTTACTGGTCATATATGTAGTTTTCAAATAGCACAGTAATTTAATGTTTCTGGTTATGGGCATTTTTCCGCAGAATGATATTTTGGGAAATCCTGACCGGGGGTTCGTTCGAACCCACCGAACCCCCGCTGCCTACGGCTATGTTGCAGCGAGAAGACGGACCGGTTCTATTGCTTACATCATACCTTGATGGGGAAAAATAGATCTTATATGTTAGAAGTACTAAATAAAAGTTATCGTGAAAATGAGACAGTCGTTCTCGAGAGAAAAGAGCATAAATGCGCATTTAGAGAGTTTTGGTCCGTTTAAAAATCTGTAAAAAATTGAGACCTACTTAAAAGCATCGGGAGACATCATATATTTCAAATTAGACACGAGGAAGTCAATATTGAGCAAGTTATGGCTGTTTTAAATTCAAATAAAACCGTTAACCCGTACCGGTCTAGCTTTTGACCCGTACCGGTCAATTTTCGTTAGCTGCGTATACCAAGGGTGATTAACGCCTGTCGGCTATCGGATTAACCTACGATTTCATGACCAACTCATTTAGATATGAACACCCCATGCAGACAGATCGCCTAAAATTACATTCGTATGATGTGAAACTCGACATTCACCAGGAAAGTAGAAACATTTTGTCACTCATGATGCAAATGAATTTTTTACTGCTTAATAAATGATGAATGACAGTCATATTAAGTTCTATGAGTATGAACATGCCATAGCATACCGTCTTGATATTTCAAGGTAACTCGTTCGAAAAATGATGACGGTGATTGAAATGACGATGTAAAGATCTCATATTGATTTTTTCAAAACAGAAAAAACATGTAAAAAATAGCAAGGCAGGTCCGATTCCTCCTGGTAGCAGGATAATAGCAGGTAAATCCGGTAGCCGACAGGCGTTAGTTTCATTTGCGAATACAAGCTTAGAAATGTCAAGAATCCGATGTCTTAAATCTTCAATTTGACCCAGTCATATATGTTCTACAGATTGTGGAGGAACATACACGTTTCTTGTACTAGATTCCTGAGAACTAACGCTTCTACATTTGAACATTTCGAAGAGACTACTTCTAAATTTGCTTCCAGCAAATACGTAAAGCCAGAAGTTGACGCTGTAGTTTATGTACAACATCCACACAAATACTACCGCATACTTTTCTGCAAACATCTGGTTTTCAATGGTTTTATCCATGAATTCTACCCAGACATTAAAGACAGTGACGGGCATTGTACTTATGCAAAGAACAGCGCTTACCGCTATAAGCATCAGTGCCATGGAGTTGGTGGTCCTCTTCTGAGCCGCTGTCAGTTCTCCTGTCATCATGGACATACGCTTCCTCTGTTGTTTGAATACAACATTGATTATGATGATGTTACAGATGACGACTACGCTCAAGGGTATGAAGCTCAGCATGATTAAGTCCTGCCATACAAAATAAATACTCGCATAGTGGATGAAATCTGGGTTCCATGTGCAGTCGGTGAAATGGGCAGTATCTTCCGTGTAGGTAAATATCCAGCCAATTTGTAGATTCCAAGCGAGGAGAATCAGAAAGCTCAAGCTTAATGCTCCTACTACCTTTTGTTTGGTACACAATGACTGTGCTCTGTGGGGTAGTCCTACTGCAATACAGCGCTCAATTGAAATCACGGCAACGATCCAGCTAGAGAAATCAGTCATAACATACATTACGGTCATCCCAATCTTGCATGGCCAGTATCCAAGGTCTGGCAACAAAACGTGGCTCAGACCAAACCCTATTTTCAAAGTCAACCCAAGACCAGAAATAAGCAAGTTGAATAAATCTGTCACTGCTAACACTGTAAGTGCCAGGGCTGTTGGAGAGCTTCTCAAATGTTCTCCACGAAACACAAGTATGGATAAAATGTTACTTGGAACTCCCAATGCAATCAGGATTGTTCCACCATATTTCCAAAGTTCTACTTTCAACGATGTGTTGAGTTGTTGAGTTGTTGCGTCAATCGTTGTATCATTTAGTTTCTCTATCGCATTGCGTTCATCATTGATTTTTCTGTCATATGAATCAGTCCCATCATTGAGTTCTTGAGTCACAAATGGCGCTGTGCTAGTTACAGCCAATGCTGTATCAGATGAAAAGGATGCAGACCCTGTGTCAGTTATAGTCAACATTTCATCACTTGAAAGGGATGCAGACGCTTTTGTTACAGCCAATGCTGTATCAGTTGAAAAGGATGCAGACGCTGTGTCAGTTACAGTCAACGCCGTATCAGTTGAAAAAGATGCACTGTCATCTCTAGATGCACTAAATATTGTTCCATTTATGTATTGTTGATTCACCGAGACGACCATGTCTAACACCACCCCAATGAGCAAGACAAACTGTAGCTGCATTTTCATTACGTTTTTCTCATAAAATGATATCAATCAAAATTTTGACTCCGGTTCAGAAAAATTATTTGTTTTGAAAAATGTGATTATTCAGCTTCTTTATCTGCAAATTTGATTCGATAACAATCTGGAAAGTTTTCTCTCGTAGAATATGTATTTTATTCCAGCTGGTATTTCTTCAACTTGCTTTCTTTTAAAAAATAATGTAATGAATCCTAAAATGATAGGATAGAGTACACAACTTACCTGATAATTAAAGGGTGTTAACTACGTTAATATGTCGTTATGTTGAAAATGTAATCATGAATAAACATACCGGGGTCGTCCCATTGGTCCGAATCCCACTGACCCGAAACCCAATCATCCGAATCCCAATAGTCCGCATACCAATGATTCGACTCTCAATGGTGTAGTTCCCATTGATCTGAATACCATTGGTCCGAAACCGAATTGTTCGAGGTGTCACTACGGTAAATACCTACTTTAAAAACGAAGCCATGCCAACTTCAATGGTGTGTATAGTAGGTTTAAGTGTATGTACTGTGGCCATTTGAGGTATGTATGTAGAGCTGAGGACAAGTACTTTCTAAATGTGCCATTTTTAGTAAAAAATCGCAAGAATATAGTCCCGTAAACTGGAACTACTTTATTCGTTAATTTTCATCTGTGAAGAAGGGATTTTACCTAAAAATGAGTCCCTATGTTGGCGTAGTGATATTTAAAAATCGAGACGCAAACCCTATGTTAAATATAGTGTCAAGATGAAGGTTATGTATAGGGGAACGCAGAAATATAGTCATTGTATGGGCTAATTCGTTCGAAAATGGCGATATGTACCCAAGCACTTGAATTTTGTGATTTTTTCAATATTTTTCAATGCTTTACCGTAGTGACACCTCGAATCCCTATATAGTCAGCATCACAGTGATCCCAACCTCAATTGTCCGAATCCCAATACTCCTGTAATGTTGCGCTGACACTGGTAAGAGCATGTTCCGATGATGTATCGTAATTGTCCATGTTTGCCACTTCTATAACATATGCTTTAATTCATTGTTCAATTCTACATGTTCATTATTCATGAACGGTAGTGATTGAGATGCAGACTGGTGAGAATATGTGCTTTTGACAATATTGACGCATACAAATCCTATTCTTGGATGCTTCACCTGCAAGGTGTTTATCTATAAGCACTGCTGTATATTCAAAAAGAATACCAAGGCACGTGCTTTCAAAAAGAGGGAAGTTTTCTTTTTACACACCCCCGTTTCATATAAATGCCCATTATATGATCATGTTAGTGAGAAACTCTTTGTGACAAAATGTACCGATGAAGATGCACACTGGTGAGATTATATAATTATGATACAAGCAGTTAGAAAATTTACCGATTGAGATGCACACTGGTGAAAATATGTGCTGATTGAACAAACTGTGAGAAAATCTGCTGATTAAGATGCACACTGGTGAGATTATGTGCTTATGATACACACTTAAAGAAAATATACAGATTAAGATGCATGCAGGTCGGAATATATGCTGAAGATACACATTGTGAGAAATGTACTGATGAGGATGCGCAATGGTGAAAATATGACCTGATGATACATACACATTGTGGGAATGTACTGATGAAGATACACACTGGTGAGAATATGTACTTATGAGACAAACTGAGAAATGTACTGATGAAGATGCACACTAGTGAAAATATATACTTTAGTTACACACTTTGTGAAAATGTACTGATAAAGATACATACATAGAGGTTATTTAATGGGAGGTTTTTGATACAGGTTATATCTGAAGGAAATACAATATATCTACCCGAGGGACCGTAGGGACCGAGGGTTGATATATTGTATTTTCCGAGGGTTACACCCTGTATCAAAAATCGAGCATTCAATAACTGATTTATCCTTTACTTAGTAGATTATGAGAATTAAATGTATGCATTGAATGTTAGGGAACCGTAATGTAGTAATTACAAACGATAATAACAATCAAAACATGAATATTTTATCTCAATTTGAAGTCCTCAACAATTTTTGTTTTTTTAAAGGCAGAATCTGATCTATAGGGGGTAACGAAATTACAAGCAACATGTATAATTGACCTACCAATCTATTCCTTACAATATCAAATACAATATCTCCAAAAAGATTCACAATATATTATAAATTGGTGAAGTTATTAATGATTCAAAGTGCAAAATTGAGTGAAAAATAATAAGAATGGTAACCATTCTTATAGGAAAATAAAATATTATTGCAAAAATGTTTAGTTTTCCTGGAATAAAGTATGCACTTTTGTGATTTTTAGAAAATGGACATGACAAGGAATGACATGAGACAAAAATACTCTAAAATTGAAATAATTTTTTGTTTAGCCTGCTCTCTATATCTGATCCTCTCTTTAATATTTATCAAATAGAGCCAAAGTATATCCTGGGAATTCAAAAAAGCACCGAAAGAAATTCCTGGGGATTGCTGATGAGCGATCTCCCGTTCATCTCAGCGGGAGATATACTATATCACCCGCTCACCTCAGGTATCGATTATATACCCGCATGTTATTTACCTATAACACTACTAAGTATAGGATAATGTAAGAATATGTACTGATAAAGATACACACTGGTGAGAATATATGCTGATGATACATATTTCATGTATTGTGAGAAATGTACTGATGAAGCTAGATGCGCACTGGTGAGAATGTGTACTTATGAGACACACTGAGAAAATGTACTGATGAAGATACACACTAGTAAAAATATGTACTTAAGAAAGACACTGGAGAGAATATGTACAAAAGAAAATAGACACTGGTGAGAATATGTACTGATGAAGATAGACACTGGAGAGAATATGTACTGATGAAGATAGACACTGGAGAGAATATGTACAAATAGAAATTGACACTGGAGAGAATATGTACAAATGAAAATAGACACTGGAGAGAATATGTACTGATGGAGATAGACACTTGTGAGAATATGTACTGATGAAGATAGACACTTGTGAGAATATGTACTGATCAAGATAGACACAGGAGAGAATATGTACTGATGAAGAAAGACACTGGAGAGAATACCGGTATGTACAAATGGAAATTGACACAGGAGAGAATATGTACAAATGAAAATAGACACAGGAGAGAATATGTACTGATGAAGATATACACTGGTGAGAATATGTAAAGATGAAGATAGACACTGGTGAGAATGTGTACTTATGAGACACACTTTGAGAAAATGTACTGATGAAGATACACACTAGTAAAAATATGTACTTAAGAAAGACACTGGAGAGAATATGTACAAAAGAAAATAGACACTGGTGAGAATATGTACTGATGAAGATAGACACTGGAGAGAATATGTACTGATGAAGATAGACACTGGAGAGAATATGTACAAATAGAAATTGACACTGGAGAGAATATGTACAAATGAAAATAGACACTGGAGAGAATATGTACTGATGGAGATAGACACTTGTGAGAATATGTACTGATGAAGATAGACACTTGTGAGAATATGTACTGATCAAGATAGACACAGGAGAGAATATGTACTGATGAAGAAAGACACTGGAGAGAATACCGGTATGTACAAATGGAAATTGACACAGGAGAGAATATGTACAAATGAAAATAGACACAGGAGAGAATATGTACTGATGAAGATATACACTGGTGAGAATATGTAAAGATGAAGATAGACACTGGAGATAATATGTACTGATGGAGATAGACACTGGAGAGAATATGTACTGATGAAGATAGACACTGGAGAGAATATGTACACTGATTAAGATATACACTGGTGAGAATATGTACAGATGAAGATAGACACTGGAGAGAATATGAATTATGAATATATGTGATGCACACAGTGAGATATAGTAGGTGAGTATATATATTGATAACGATGCATACTGGTGAGAAAATGGACTGAAACTATCATTCCTATTCAAAATTAACATTTAGTTTGTCAAGTTTACACATTTTATATGGCACTCAAGATTGAAGCCAGTGATTTCAATAAATATTGATAGAGTTGTGTCAAATGTGGAAGCACATGGGTGTTTATTAAATCATTTAAAACAACAACAAAAGAAATTCTGTAATACACATTATATTTCCTTAATTGGTACTACGAGCCTTAACTCATACCATAGATTGCCATAATGTTTGATGTGGTAAGGTGATCATTTGTCATCTCGAAAAATAATTATTTTTCAAAAAATGAGCCCATCCAAATAAAATACATGATCACCCCTTTACTATTCAAAGCTAGGATTTACCCAATTAAAATGTCAGTTAGCCTAGAACTTGGTTTACATGTACATGTACTGTACTCCTGGTAATTTTCGCGTGCTACTATATTTCACGCTTTAAGCAAATTTTGGAACATTCACAAAATATAATAGCCGTGAAATTCAAAAAGTTCTACTTCGCAAAATAAAATAGTCACAAAATTCCCAAGAATTTATTTCACCCAATGTTGATGATAGTTTCTTCCAGTATTGGGCCATAAAAGGTTGGGAAGTTACTGTATTCTTACATTCGGATTTTTGAAGATCATAATTAATTCTCACAAAATTGCTCAAGATGAAGGGTAATCATGGCTGATATTGAAACAGAAAGAGTGGTATTGCATGACAAGTCACTAAAACTCTAAAAACGTCCATAAATTAATCACCAACCTAATAAAGAAGCAAGACACATTTTGAGAAGTCAACTACCGCAAAAATTAATAGCCGCGAAATTTCAAAAAACTAAAAATTAGCCAAATATAATATCTGCAAAATTTCGAAATCACAAAATATAATAGCATCAAATATTAGTGGGAGTACAGAATGTTGGATAAATCCTAGCTATAAAACGTGAATTCACAATATGTACCACCTTCTTATGGACCATGGTTTAAAATGTATAAAGTATTCATGCCTTCAGTATGTGGTACTCATGCTCTCAATGTATTGTTATCATGCCAT